GTGTCTCTTGATATGACCAATATTCTCTTGAAAAATCTATTTATGCAGCTCCTTTCCTAGCTCTCTTCACTGATTAAACACGCTGCTGCTCTTCTGAATTGCAGCTTTTGTTTGCTGAGGTTTGTCAGCATTTGTCATAAGTCTTACAGTGAAGGGATAAGCTGGAGGGGACAAGGCAGGAATACCTCAAGGAGAGCAGGAAAGTTACAGTCGCAAATTTGCATTGTTAGTTCTGACGTGCAGGATTTTGAAGTGTCTTTACCCGTTCACTGCTGAGTTTTTCCTTCCTACCTCAGACCCTGGCTATTTAGCAAAGAACAAAGCAAGATGATCCTGTCTAAGTGGTTCATTCTTTTGCCTTGATGGTAGATTTCTACACTCATAATGGAATTAGAATTATTTCAGTAATAAAAAGATACTGGTGTTTTTCTGCACAATTCTAATCATCTGAGACTGACCTCTAGCTTTTACCTGTCTTCCTGTCTTGCCATAAATTTCCTTACTTCTACTGATAGCATTAGATATTATATTATTAGGTTATATACTATGTGGCATAATATATCTGAGCATTGTCTGACATTCTCAAAAATTTCCAGGATTTTTTTCACCTGGATGTAGCTTATCTTTTATGTCCCTGTCTTTATCTTTTAAGAGAGGTGCCCTTCAGGTAGGGACCATGTTTTGGATAGGGAATTTAAACAGTGCCTAACCACTGACAGCTCAGGCAACTGAAGTGCTAATATTGAACAGCACCAGTAACTGGGGGCCTCATCACAGACTTTTTCTCTGTTCACTGTAATAGAAAATAAAAAATTGAAGTCTCTCTATTGGAGCATTTTATATCAGAAGTAACTTCCTGTACAGTTATAGAGCTATAAAGTTACTTTATTGTCTGTGTGGTGAAACTCATGCATTTTTGAACACATACACTGAGGAAAAAAATGTCACTCTGTCATGAGAGATGTAAAGTGCTTTCCCACAATGCATATACATGATAAGCTATGGGAAAGAGCTGTCATACATCAAATTAGACAGCAATGTGGAAAAGTTACTGTTCAATGTGGCATACACGGTGGTCTCTAAAGCACTTCTTTTATTTCTATGTGTAAAACAGCTCCTTTGGGCCCATTAGATTTCCTTTGAAGGCTTTGAGAGACTTTTTCCATATTCTAGTCAAATATTCATCTCACTCATTTAAGCCCCTGTAGTACAGAACAGTGGCTTTCAAAGGTGCCCTGTGTCTTTCAGTGGCTCTCAAAAACTCCACTTTGGCAGCTTCATTATTGGAGCTGGCTCTTCAGATTGATGTGTGATTTCATTATTATTATTTAGCCTTTTTTTTAAACTTAAAAAAATATGTAACTGATAGGCTGGAGAGCAGTACGATTTTCTTCCTAAATCGCAGAAGCATGCAACAGTATAAGTAAAACCCACCAGCACCTACTGAGGTCCTTGTGCCATGGGACCAGAAAAGCTGCCACTGTGGTTTCTGAATGCAGAAGCTCTGGAAATCATTTTGCTTGCGTTCCTAGATCCTGATCTATTGCCTTTATCAGCTTGGAGGGGACTCCCTCTGCCCATGAGATAAAGCCCTTAATGCTTTTAAATGGTTCTCTTTGCACTCGCGCAATCCCCTCCGCTGCCAGTGCTTCCATTTCAATCAGTGATATCTTGCCCTTCTGCACAGCCTCAGCCACAGTGGTCTTGTTGCAACACTTTCTGCCTTTCTCTCCTTCTGGGATGAGGCGCAGGAGCAGCCACAGCTTGCCCCTGAAAGCCTCCTTGCCTCATTTTCCAGTACTGAAGAAAGGGAAATGGCATTTAAATGGGAAGTTTGAAAAATCATTACACCATTTACTTCTCTGAAATTCAATATATTATATCACTGTTTTTCATTACACTTTGAAGCATTCTGCCTTGAAGGTTTTGTCTCAAATTCTGTTCTTTTCTGTGCCTATGACACTAAGCAAAGCATTAGTTCAATCTTTCACTTGGTGTCAGTGCCCATTCCCAGAGAAGAGAGAATGTTAAATGGCTCTGTAATGTCTCTGATGAGATCTAGGATCAATTTCTGAAATTTTGATAGAGGAGTGGCATTGTCCAAGGGTCGCTGTATATTGCATTAATATCTGATGGAGCAAACAAAATGAAAAACTGTACTGCTTGCTGTAAGCAAACAACAGATCAAAACTCATTCATGCTCTTTCTTATCCTGATCTTATTTTTCCCCTCATTTCTGTATTAATCAAAGGTTAACACCATCAAGGCTCTATGGCATGCTATCAATCTTTATTGCCTTGTACAAAATAAACTCTTCCAATGAACTGGTTTTTATGGCAATTCCTTCTCAATTTTCCTATATTTGTATTTTCATTGTAGTTGTTCCCAGACAGAGTGAAAAAATGAAAAGATTAAAACGTCTGAATTCCTTCAAACGCCAACCAGAAAGTCTTTGACTGTCTCATTGCCAAGGACAACTGAATTTCCTTGTCTGAATCAATTCTCATAATGCAGTGAACAATTACAAGAGCAGGAGGAAGCCTGGCTGTTGCTTTGGCCCTTCATCTCACAAGCCTGCATATCTACCAGTGTAATTTTCCTTTCCACAAGTTGCTACAATTGCTGTTGAATTCATCATATGTGAAAATAAAATCTACAAAGGGAATAAATTCTCTGTCTAGCTTCCTTCCACTTCATCTTTCTGTCCATTTGCCAGAGCAATAAAAATCCCTGGCGACATTAGCACAAATATAAACACCAAGCATTAGGAAATGCCTCCTTGCAATAGCACTGCCATCACTGTAACCTTAAACTTTAAATGCTCAGAGTGATTAGGACTGGTGAAAGCTTTCTTTTTAGAAAACAGTTTGAAAGAAAGCTTATTAAAATGTTAATATTTCCAGGAAAAAAACATTAAGGACAAAAAGAGGTTAAAAGTACCTCTCAAAGTTCTTCACTCTGATTTATTCAGTGGAAGGGGCAAAGTCTTCTTTTCCATGTTTTTTTTAATTTTTGAGAAATGTAGGCCCCAAAGCCTAATTCATCTGAAGCATATTTTAAATAGCTTCAAATGTGCTGTTAAGGAAGGAAGTGCACTATTCCACTGCAATCCTAATTACTGTGCTACTGTATTTCATTCTGCACTAGCAATGAACCAATCATTTAAACTCACAGTAACCGTTTTGTTATTATCCAAACATCTAGAAAAGAGTCCATTAAGTTCCTGGTTTGATCAACTGTCATAGTTAGTGAAGATGAAAGCACAGTTGGAATCTTCTCAACTTTTCAGTCCCATTAAAAGTTCAGACTACAGCTGAAATCCCTGCAGGGGACTTCCCTGAAGGGTCAAAGCAGGGCAATGAGGCAACTACCACAGATGGTCCATGTCCATCCTGCCAGACAACAGCAGCCACCAAGTCTCCTAAGAAGTGTCTGCTTCCCTCCTCTCTTTGTTTCTCTACTTCCCTCATTCACCTCCTCGCCTCCAGAAAGTTCTGCTTTTTGAAATAGTGAAGTGTTTCACATTTCCCTCCTAAGAACATTCACCCACAAAACTCATAAATGAAACACCCAGTTCTGCTAATGCAATCAGCTACATTAGCAACATATATATTTTTCATCTTTTCTTTCAATTATTTTGCCTTTTAATTATCTTTCTTTGTGAATAAAGATAGCCACATTCTAAACTCAATCACCCCTAAGAACAATATAAAATGAAGTTTAATCTTTCATTATGAAACTCTTCTGTGGGATCCAGTGGTGCTGTAATTTTACCATTAAGAAATTGCCCTTTTCAGTTGTCTATTGCTCGCCTTTTCTTTCTCCTCTGAACAATAAAATGAAGAAAAGTCTCAGTTATGAGATACAAAACATGTACTTTCTGTACCAGAGCACCATGTCTTTTCCTTCTGCTTTTAATTTTTTTTTGTCCAATCAGTAAAGAATGAGCTGTCACTTTTCGAAAGGTACTCTGAGAAACAGCATTTGAAGTAGCAAAATTTCAGCCAGACCTCTTACAGTTTACAGGAGATGGAGAACTATGCAGAATCGTTCACTATGGTGCCATATGCAGTGAATATTATCGTATAATAGTATAATATTAGTGCAAGGTTGAGCTACTATTTCAATGGCCTATGTCTTTAGGAAGTTATCAGAGGTTTTATTTCAGCTTGACATCAAAGTGCCTCTCTCTTTCTTTTCTAAAGCCCAATGTAGACTGTCTTACTGTGAGAGGTAACTTGCCCACAGAGACACTTTGTCGCTGCTGGCCACTGATGGATGTTGGGTTTTGGCCTAGATGGTCTGCTGTCTAACAAAACTTTTATCTAGAGAAGATGTGTCCTGTCTTGTTCCACTGGCAAGTTCAGCCAGTTATTTACTGAAATCTCATCCTCTTCGGACAATGCTACTGATACTTCTCTTTGTGTTTCTCTTACAGTTTGTTGCTCACCCCAACTGCCAGCAGCAATTGCTCACGATGTGGTATGAAAACCTCTCAGGCTTACGGCAGCAATCTATAGCTGTGAAGTTCTTGGCTGTCTTTGGGGTCTCCATTGGCCTGCCCTTCCTCGCCATAGCCTACTGGATCGCTCCCTGCAGCAAGGTACAAACTCATTAAGGTTTTTATGGTCATTTCTACCCAGAGCTTTAATGAAGTCACATATTTTTCTGTAATACCATTGGGAACTGATTCATGCTATGGTCTAAGATTGCCCCGGAGGAGAGCAGGTGTGAGGTATTGCTTGATGTACACAAATGGAGTTGTTAGGCATAGTTTGAGGTTAATCTTTATAGACAAAAAAAGATGGGGTGGCAGGGGAAGAGAGTGATACAGTGGGTGACATAAAATAATAGGAACAAGAAAAGGCTAAGAGACAGCAACAAGGGAGTGGGGTGAAGAAAATGGGAAAAAACTAAAGGAGAAGATCTTTGTTTAGTTTACTCTGGTGTATAAACTCTCATTCCTTTTATGTTCTATTTGTTGCAGGTTCCTCCTTTCTTCAGGGCTCCTTTCTTCCCTTTCCTTGTTTCTGATCTTGTATTTTTACTTAGTGGAACATTACTAAGGCACATGTGCCTGAAACTCTGCCAAGCCCCAAGGGACTGCTTAGTGCTGCAGAGAAGACTAAACTTAATCATGCAGCTTTTATGGTTTTGAGGGAAAAGACTATGAAAATTGGAAAACTGCCATGTACCTAAATAAGGCTGTGCTATGTCTCAGCATCAGGTAGAGCAGGAGAGTTTTGCTGAGACCTAGAAGTCAAAGAGCTAGAACTAACCATTAGGTAAAAGCTTGATTTGTCTGTGGTATGAAATCTGTAGTGAGATTTCCATCATGAAAGAGTCTGCTCAAGCAAGAAGAGATAAATAGATGTGTGCCTGAATGCTAAGTAGCTTTTTCACTGCTCTTGCCACATAAGAAAGGGGTGGCAGGGAAAAAGATAATTTCGCGTTCAGGAGTCGCCAGCAACATCATCCATTACAAGGTAGAGGTCTTCAGCAGG